TGACCCATCGTGCGTGCATTCTGCATCGACAATAACCTTATCGTACAAAAATTCAGGTGACCTTATCTGTGGGTCATCTCTTAATGTTTTTGGCGCCCAAAATGGTTGAAGTTCACCATTTTCCTGGACTTTCAACTTCCTGTCACGTGATTTAGAAGTAACTTCTGTAACGAAATTTTCACCATTCATTCGCCGGATCGGATCCAAAAAGGATGGTGCAAGGACGCTAAAAGAAGTGCCATCCGCGACGAATAGTCTAGCGCGACCTATCTTATATTTCTTTATTAAACTGCGACACGTGGATATGCGTTCACGTGAAATGTCTACCCCGGTAATTGTGCCGCAACCACTAACGCCCAATATATTCGATGCCATGCATAGTTTAGCCCCTGAAAAGGAAACATGATCAATAAAGGATATCGGGGAGACTGAAGATATTACGTACCCGGGGCACAGCATAGATCCAATATATGATCATCTGGTTGTATGTCAAGTGCGCAAACTGCTATTCCCGAACTTAAGTCAATTCCAAATATCTAGTCCCAATCAAAAAAATTTATTTTCAGCATTTCGTCTGGATTTTATCCTACAAGTTCCTTAAATACCTTTCCTTCTTTGTAACTATACATTTGACATGAAAATTCTGAAATTAATTTACTGCCATATCTTTACCGGATGTTCATAATGAACGTACGTACGCCGTGCAATCGACGATCCTACTCCTTCCATCCAACCCATAAAACCCATCGATACCATCAACGCTCCATAATTTTGTCCCAAGTTGTTCTTCTAGTTCCTCACGCGTTGGTAATCGTGAATGTTGTGTATTCAGCCGAATGTATCGTGGTAAGTCACGAATTGTGTATATTTGAGGATCAATTTCATTGACCTGAAGAAATTCTAAGAAGGCCGGCGGTAAGTTTGAAATTAACAAGGCAGATGGGTCATCATCAGAAGACATCCTGTATAATGAAAATCAACAGTGACCCATGATTTTCATGATTTTCATCACCTGTTTAGATTGTTTAGTTATGATCTGACAGAGGTTGATCTACTTCATTGACATGACCGAAGAAACTCAACCAACTAAATCACGCAAGCCCGGAGGTAGAATCATTTTTCTTTCGTGTTTAATGCAATTTCGAGATTAATCAATCATTTTTTGACTGTATTAGGGTCTTCTATCAAGCAGCAAAAGCTATGGGCATGCCAACCAATAATAACTCCAAAAACAGTTTTTCCTCTGTTTTTCGGAATTGCCATAATCTTCACTCCTTTGGGTGGACTTTTACTTTATTATAGTGAAACGGTTAATGCTCTTATCTATGTTATAGTAAGAATTTTCTTTGAAATGGTTATATTTACGATGTCCATTTTAATCACACAAATAGGTATCCGAAATTGACATTGAATATACAAATTGC